CTGGGCGCTCTCAACCAACTGGCGCCTCACCCAGTTGCGTGGGGACCCCAAAATAGGCCTGTAGGCCCTGGGTCGAGCCTGCCTTCACTTAGGGCGGCCGACTGTGCAGAAAATAGGGCCCAGTAGGGCAGATCGAGGCCTTGAGCCTCGCAAATATATTGAAGTTAATTGAACTGCTTTCCCCCCCCCCCCAAAACAGGTCCTTATGGCCCTGGCTTCATTTCCATTCTGGGGAGCATCAGTCCGGTTCCTTTTCCACCGGCAAGTCAGAATAAAATATTACATCATGAAAGCACACGCGCGCTTCCTTCCGTCTGGCCGAAGGAACCCTGACCAGCATTGATTACTCCTGCACAATGGAGGATTGACTGTCAGCTTGCCTTACTTCCACCTTTCCTCTCAGGTCCATTGCACAAACCTGCCGGATGACTAATAAAGAGTAAGAAAGGTAAGAGAAGCCACGGAAGGCAGTCCCGGAATTTGCCCTTCAATATTATGTGACCTGTGATGGATCTTGTCCTTCTGCTGGCTGGAATCTCTGTCTTCTCCACCCTGCTTCTGAGTTGTGCCAGATGCCAGTCTTTCCATCGTATGCGAGAGACATTTATCTGTGCCACTTTGCCCTTTGCAAGCCACACCTTAGTGAACTTTGTCTTGATTCTTCTCTGTTGCTCTTCATCATCTGGCATGGACTGTCTCGTCTTGTGCCATTTTCAAAGGATCTCCACCTGAATCAAAGTCCTTGTCTCCGCCCAAACCTTCTCCCTTGGAGTTGAGAGTCCCTCAATGGTTCTACAGCACCTCTCCTTCCAGATGGACCCTTTCTGATCATTCCAAACCACGTTTTCTCTGTCTTGTCGAATTGAGCTGGGATGTTAGTCCATAAGAGGAGTTGGATGGGGTGTTCAGGGAGGGGAGTCGAGAAAAGAGGGAGTCCCAGAGATCCGAGGCCCTCGCTCAATATTCGGTCGCCTCTCTACATCGTATCAGGCAATGTCGCATATCTTCTGGTTCATTTTCTGAACACACCGCGCATAAATCTGAACTGTTAGTGTCATTCTTGCTTCTTCTGATGTGTAGCCACTGGTTATTAACCGGTAGAGCTACGTATGAGATGAGCCATTGGAGGCTTCTGATCGGCCACGTATGAGATGAGCCATTGGAGGCTTCTGATTTTGACCGGACGTATTGACTTGAACTTTTTCCATGGTATTTGTGGTATCTGATTAGCATCCTGACCTGTTAACTTCTGCCATCTGTTCTTGATCGTTGGGTCAGGATCCTTTGTTTTGAGGAGTAAGTTGTATCCCAGTTTGACTGTGTTTTCCTGGATGGGGACCTTCGTTTTGAAACTTCTGCTTCTTTTTTTTTTTCCACCTCTTTACTCAGGATAGATGGAGAGCCTTGCGTGGAGGGGGTAATTGGGAAGGAGGTGAACACTGCCAGGGTATCCGACCCTTGTTGTTTATGGGAGAATTGATAGGCCCTTGTGGGGGTAGTTACATTTCGTATTTAGAAGGAAAAAAAGAAGACTGAGAAACTTACAGAGGGAGCAAATGACAGATCAGTCTCAACAACTTGTCGACACCCAGCCTCCACAACTCATAGATGCTATTACCTTCTTCCCCCGAATACAACGTATGGTCATTATAGCTGTATTGGACGCATCTTTCAGTCTAGATGCAGCCAGAATGACCGTACTTTGTATTCGGGGGAAGAAGGTAGTAGTTGCCCGCCTTCGTCATGGCCTGCCCCAAAGTGTACATAAAGGCTTATTGAAGCACGCTCGATTCATTGATAATTGGACACCCTATCGGTTTTTCGCTGCTCTGTGTGATGACGCTGCCGATGTTCGGCTACCATGTGGTCACCATTCCTTGTGCTGTGTTTTGATGGCATGGTCCAAACGAGTAGAGTCTCTGTGTTGGCACTCCTGATGCTTCTCTGTTTTGTACTCACCCTCAGCACCATCATCCCATGGCATGTCCCTTACATCGACGATGGCCTGACCTGTGGTTCATGTGCAACTGAGGCAGGCTACCTCTTCGTTCTTGCCATCTGGTCATGTTGCTTGTGATATATGTCTGCGTCGAAGTGATTCTGCACACGATGTGTATGTGGGTTTCAATTTGAAACAGTGTCTGCTACTGATATGCAGCTTTCAGAGACCACACCCAGGTCACTCGTGTCCCCGATTCGGTTACAAATTTTGTTTTAAGCCACTCTTGAGTCTCTTGTCCTATTCTGTTACGAATTTGGTTTTCTTTTTATTGGAAAAAAAAAAGAAAAAGGAAAAAAACTATGGCTCTGCCGCCCTCGCAATATGCCTCCCTCTTTGCCTTCTCTTCCTTTTGTCAACCACAGGTACCTTTCCCAGCCATTTTGTTGGGACATGGTCGTTAACGAGCCGCGTTTGTTTTAAGCCACTCTTGAGTCTCTTGTCCTATTCTGTTACGAATTTGGTTTTCTTTTTATTGGAAAAAAACTATGGCTCTGCCGCCCTCGCAATATGCCTCCCTCTTTTCCTTCTTTTCCTTTTATGCACCACCGGTACCTTTCCCAGCCATTTTGTTGGGACATGGCCGTTAACGAGCCGCGTCCTTAGGGGCTGGGCCTACAAGACGAGAATGGCTGGCGGCGCCAGGCACGGAAACAAAATAAGACTGCACCCTCGCTGATTCGCCCTTTCTTGGCGCGCAACAGAAATCTGCATCAGGCAAAAGAGGCTGAGTTGACGGTACTGGTGGTTGAAAGGATCTTATTCTGTTCTTGAGAAACAGCATCCTACTACAGTAGGCTTCAGCTCTTGCAATGACACCATCGCCTAGGAATGGCATAAAATCTTTTGACCAAAATCTATTAGGGAAGAGTGAAAGAACTTCACGCGTCTCAGTGCCCCGGTTCCAGTCGCGGCACCAAAGTTCCGCAGTCCCATGTACCATAGTAGCTGTCCAGTCGGCAGGATAGTTAGGTGGAGTCCGGTAGGCCCAGTAGCTCCGGTAGGTCTGTCAGTCCAGTCATTCCAGTCAGTCGAGTCAGTCAGTCAGTCGAGTCAGTCAGTCAGTCCAACCCAGTCGGCAGTCCAGTGCCATGAACGTCAGAGAAACTCGGCTGACTGCAGCCGGTAAGACCCGGCACCAGTTCGGAAAAGTCAAAGATTGGGAACTGCAGCATAGGCAGGGGTGAGAGGTGGTACATCCTTCCTCAGGGAAGTAATCAATGCCGTCTACTCGGGCCTCCCAGCCTTAATTGGGGGGAGCGTGTGTGAGTCTCTTATGTATTCCTAATTGACTTGCCGGGGGAAAGGAACCGGACTGTCGCTCCACAGAATGGTAGGAGCCAGAGCCAAGAGGCTCTGTT